CTCCCTGGGGTACACACTGCCGCTGGGGAGGAAAGACTGCACCTTCAGCTCCCTGGGTACACACTGCCGCTGGGGGAGGAAGGACTGCACCTTCAGCTCCCTGGGATACACACTGCCGCTGGGGAGGAAGGACGGCACCTTCAGCTCCCTGGGATACACACTGCCACTGGGGAGGAAGGACGGCACCTTCAGCTCCCTCTGCTGCTGGGGAGGAAGGACGGCACCTTCAGCTCCCTGGGGTACACACTGCCGCTGGGGAGGAAGGACGACACCTTTGGCTCCCTGGGACTCACACTGCCGCTGGGGAAGAAGGACGACACCTTCAGCTCCCTGGGGTACACACTGCCGCTGGGTAGGAAGGACGGCACCTTCAGCTCCCTGGGATACACACTGCCGCTGGGGAGGAAGGACAGCACCTTCTGCTCCCTGGGGTACACACTGCCGCTGGGGAGGAAGGACGACACCTTCAGCTCCCTGGGACACACACTGCCGCTGGGGAGGAAGGACGACACCTTCAGCTCCCTGGGATACACACTGCCGCTGGGGAGGAAGGACGGCACCTTCAGCTCCCTGGGACACACTGCCGCTGGGGAGGAAGGACGACACCTTTGGCTCCCTGGGACTCACACTGCCGCTGGGGAGGAAGGACAACACCTTCTGCTCCCTGGGGTACACACTGCCGCTGGGGAGGAAGGACGACACCTTTGGCTCCCTGGGACTCCTTTTTGGCCAAATCTACTAGAGATTGCAGGTATTCTCCTACTAGTTTCCTGGCGAGCTGCACGCTCTCTCTGGGGGGTTGGGTCCAAAGGTAGACAGCACCTCATTAACCTCTCTGTCAAACTCCTCCTGGGTGTAGTCATACGCCATGCTTGCTCTGCTGAAGTTAGTTCTTTTGTAGATAGGGTCGCTGTACGGGTACTAGCGTTGCCCTCAATTTGTAAATCCACAAACTGTGTCTCCGAGCTGCTTTACCTCGCACTAGGACGCCATCCCACCGCTTGCCACCAATGTAACGGATCGCCTGGCACCCCGACTGGGTACCTCCGTTGAAGGATGCTCCTAGCGCTTCCTGAGGACTCCAAGCACTGCAGCAGACACCAAAACCACTGAACCGTAGGAGCATATGAATTCTCTCAAGCATTTGAATGCTGTAGACAGTTGAATAGGAACCATACGAATAGGTTTACTCTCCTAGCAGTCAAACTGGAACAGCATACAATAAATCCTTCCCCCAATAATGAGACGACACTTCACTTTGAGGGTTAAAACAGGAACTCTCTGTACTGTCACATACAGTCTCTTTTATTCCCAATCCACAAACATAGTACAGCCCACAGGGCGTTACAAAACAACCAATCACATATCAGTTACATCCCACATATTCCCTCCCCTTATCCTGAGAGGAAACTCAATTACACATACAGTTAAAACATACTTTCTACCCAACTTTCATAACTCTAAAACCATACATCACATTCACATAAAATTACATATTCACAATCAATCCATTCAGGGGAACAACATATTAAAAAATGGCACGAATCAGACCAGGGGTTCAAAAGTTAAGGGAAAGTCCTTTGTGACTAAATGAAGCATGGCTTTCTGGCCCAAACCAGTTTCAGAGTCTTCTATCCTGGAGAGTAATTCAATTATCTCCCAGGACAGACACAAGACTCCATTAAGCACATGGTTGCAAAAAGACACAAAACACTTTAAAATACATAAAGTCACATTTACACATAACACACAGACATTTCACATATCCCCAGATAGCTGGGATCTGAGTGCACATTATTAGATGAATGGCACTCAGATCACACAAATAAGCCTTTCTGCAGGGGAAATAAATGGTTTAACCTGCAGGGCCATAGTCCAAAGGGAGCAGGCGAGCAACCAGGCTTCTCCAGTTCACATTGGCGAGGTTGGTTTCGCCACACCGTCGACCTCCCCTTCTCAATCGACAAAAGCATGCGAATGCCAGCCGTTCGGGAGATTCAACCACACGAATGGACTTAACCCAGATAGCCGTCCCATGGAGTCAATCGCATACCGACGAACTGAAAGAGACTTTGACTCCATGGCGATTGAACTGTGCGAATGGGATCTGAGCGCTATTCTTCAATAATGTGCCCTCAGATCCAGGCTATCTGGGGATATGCAATACGAATGTAATATGTTCGGCAGTTATGAAGTTATGGATTTTCATGTGTTTTTGTGACTTGTGTTTAAAATGGCGATTGCCTCTGCTCGGGGAGATAATTGAGTTACTTCCCAATTATCCCTCGAGCAGAGGGGAGGGAACTGTGATGCATGCTGGGAATATTGTGGGGATGTATGTCCAAAATGTCCCCATGTCCCTCTGTGATTTCAGTCTCCCATTTGGTCCCCTAGGGGAGTGTCCACCAAGTGGGAGACCTGCATAAATACCGGGCAGGTAGCCCACAGTAAACCAGTTCGTGTTTTACCCTCAAAGCGGAGCTTGGTCTCGTTATTGGGGGGATTTGGATACCAGCGGCGAGAGACTGCTTATTTGGATTATTTGCCGCTTGGGAGATATTGTCGTTCGGTTACTAATTGCCGTTCGTGGATTTGCGCTCGTGAAGGGAATTAGCCGTACAGGTACCGTTCGGGAGTTTGGAGTGTTCCCTGACTGGCGGTTCGCATGGTTTTATTATACCCGCTACCCGACCACATTATTGCGAACAGGGAATACTCGCTAAACGGCGGTTTGTACATTTCAGTACTGGAGGTACCGTAACAACTGGTGGCAGCGGTGGGATGATCCTCAACGCCCAAAGAGACCACTACAACCAGGACTAAAAATGGAATTACAATACCAAAACCTGAGGAGGGCTACCCTAAAGGATTTATTGGAGCAAAGAGGGGGACAAGCCAGTAACCTCAGGAAGAGGGATATTATTGAGTTATTGCTGGAAATGGATGGAGTACCAGCGGCAGAGGGAACCAATGGACCCAGCGCAGCTGACAGAACCCCCGAGGAGGCAAGCTTTGACCGGGCGGTAAGAATCAGGCTGGCACATTATGGTCCCAACCCGACTACAGAAACCATTGACCGGGTCATGGCAGCTGTGGAGGCCAACCTGCTTCGCCAAAGCGGTGCTGCAGCAGCCCCAGTCACAGCAAACCCGGGAGATAGGAAAAAGGTACCGTTTACTGCGTTTAAAGCCTTCAGTGAAACAGAAGGAGAGATTGATGGGTACCTTGCTGATTTCGAGCGGCAATGTGCCCTACACAAGGTACCCCTGGAAGAATGGGTTACTATATTGTCCGGCAAGTTATCAGGCCGGGCCAGCGAGGCTTTTCGGGCCATTCCTGATGAGGAGATTGGGGATTATGTGGCCGTCAGGGAAGCTTTACTCTCCCGGTATGCCGTTACACCTGAGGCGTACCGGAGGAGGTTCCGAGACACTGTCAAGACCTCTGGGGACTCATACGTGGAATGGGCATGTAAGGTGCATCGCACAGCCGCCCACTGGATGGCGGGGTGCCAGGCTGTGTCCGGAGAAGAGGTGCTGCAGATGTTTCTTTTGGAACATTGTTTCGATAAATTGCCAGCCGGGGTCAGGGAGTTGTTAAGGGACCGTAAACCCTCCACTCTGCACGAAGCCGCTCGCCTGGCGGATGAGTATACTGACGCCCGCAAACTGGACAGTCTCATCAACAAGACAGGTAAAGAGAACGTTAGGATTTGCAAATGAACGAATTTAATTGCTTCAACATATCACAATGATGGGTATCGCTGTTGCATTGGAGAACAGAGTGACATGCCATGCCAGTGTATGTACTAAAGCTCGATATTGTATAACTGGCAGTAACAATTGCTGCACAACCTGTATTCTTATGGATAAATCTTAGTAAATTATCCTGAGATTCACAATGAACTCTCCCCTTCTCTTTATTTCCATTCTCTTAACGTTCCTCCCTTGATACCACCTTTAATCTTAGAACTGCCTGGAGTGAGCAAGGGAATGGTAAATGGAGGATGAAAAATAAGCAAGGAGAGTTAAGGGGAAACACCAGAGATGAAACCATGCATCTAACACAGAGCATTGCAGAACATCAGACTATGATTTATTTTAGTTTTAGAAGAGAAGTATAGAGGCAGAGACGGTTGCTGATGCCCTGGTTAAAATCTTCACTAGGGTCGGGTTCCCTCAGGAGATTCTCTCCGATCAGGGAACCCAGTTCACCGCTGTGCTTACCCAGCAGCTGTGGAAGGTGTGCGGTATTAAACCTCTGCTTAGCTCACCGTATCACCCACAGACTAACGGTCTCTGCGAGCGATTTAATGGCACCCTCAAACAGATGTTGAGGACCTTTACTGACACTTGCAGAGATTGGGAGCGATTCCTGCCTCATCTGCTATTTGCATACAGAGAGGTGCCCCAGGAATCTACTGGGTTCTCCCCCTTTGAGTTACTCTATGGGAGAAGGGTCCGTGGACCCCTAGATCTCATTAGAGGACACTGGGAGGGGGAGACAGAGCAAGAAGGGACTCCCATAGTACCATATGTCCTGGAACTCCGGGACCGCATGGAGAAACTATCCCTGATGGTCAGGGAGAATCTCCAGGCGGCCCAGGGGAGACAGAAACGGTGGTACGATCGGGGTGCCCGACAGCGGGTCTTCCAGGTTGGGCAGAAGGTTCTGGTACTCAAGCCTGTGAAGACAGACAAGATGCAAGCATCTTGGCAGGGCCCATATAAAGTGTTAGCTCAGGTGTGTGATACTACCTACCTTATAGCCAGCTGTTCAGATGAAAGGATTCAGCGATCCTTCCATGTGAACATGCTGAAGGAGTATCAGGAACGACCAGAGGATGTTGCGGCGGTATGTGCCCCAGCTACTGACGACCCCGAGAACTTACCGTTACCTGACTTGCTAGAGAGAGACCCCCAGACAGACCTTACTAGTCTTGTACAGCTAGGGGACCGGCTAAACCCGGCAGAGAAGGTACAGGCGAGACAGTTACTGTGGGAGAAGCAGGCGACGTTCTCCCAAGAACCCGGGTACACTACCCTAGCTGTACACAAGGTCGAGACACCCGGACAGAACCCCCTACGACAACCCCCGTACCGTATCCCGGAAGCAGTCCGAGAAGGAATGCGGACGGAGATACAGGAGATGACCAGGCTGGGGGTTATCGAACACTCAGACAGTCCTTGGGCCTCGCCTGTAGTTCTGGTGCCTAAGAAAGATGGGACCACCCGGTTCTGTGTGGACTACAGGCGGCTCAACGAGCGGACCATCACTGATGCCTACCCTATGCCCCGGGTAGACGAGTTATTAGACCGCATTGCCAGGGGGCGCTACTTGACCACCATTGACCTGTGTAAAGGTTATTGGCAGATCCCCCTGGCCGAGGATGCTATCCCTAAGTCGGCATTCATCACCCCATTTGGCCTGTACCAGTTTAAGGTTATGCCATTTGGGATGAAGAATGCTCCGGCTACGTTCCAGCGTATGGTGGATAGGCTCCTCGATGGCTTCCAGGATTTTGCATGTGCATACCTGGATGACATTGCGGTCTACAGTGAGTCCTGGGAAGACCATTTAGTACACGTGGGGGTGGTGCTGGACAAGATTCGGGCCGCAGGCCTGACCTTGAAGCCAGACAAGTGCCATCTAGGCATGGCAGAAGTACAGTACTTGGGTCACAGAGTAGGCTGTGGGAGCCAGAGACCGGAGCCAGCCAAGGTAGAGGCGGTGGCTAACTGGCCCACACCTATCACCAAGACCCAAGTGCTGGCCTTCTTGGGGACGGCAGGGTATTACCGACGTTTTGTCCCTGACTACAGTACGGTTGCTAAGCCCTTGACTGACCTGACTAAGAAGAATTTGCCTAAGCAGGTCCTGTGGTCTCCAGCTTGTGAAGCCGCGTTTCAAGCACTTAAGCAGGCTCTTGTGAATGCCCCTGTCCTGGCTGCCCCAGTCCCTAACAAACGTTTTCTTGTACATACAGATGCTTCCATGTATGGACTGGGGGCTGTGCTAAGCCAGGTCGGGGAAGATGGAGGAGAGCACCCTGTCGCATACTTAAGCAGAAAGTTACTACCCCGGGAAGTAAGTTATGCGGCAGTGGAGAAAGAGTGTTTAGCCCTGGTCTGGGCACTGAAGAAATTGAGCCCATATTTATACGGACAAGAATTCTCCCTTATTACGGACCATAACCCCCTTGTCTGGCTTAACCGGGTCTCAGGAGACAATGGCAGACTGCTGAGGTGGAGTTTGGCACTACAGCCTTACAACTTCACCATCAGCTACCGACCCGGTAAGCAGAATGGGAACGCGGATGGGTTGTCCCGGCAAACAGACGTCCCTACTTCTTCCCAGTCCGGTCATCCCCAAGTTGACCCGCCAAAGGGTCAAGCCGGGTCTGCCGGAGTGTTCCACAAGGGGGGAGCCGTGTGACAGACCCATCTGTCTGGATTATAAATGCTGTGTTCGCCTGTTTTGCCGGTTACATGAATTTCCCCATTCGTATGCTTTATTCAAGGGAATGTCGGTTTTGTCGAACGGAACTACCGAACGGATGGCCACCCAGAAGAGAAGTGTGCTGCTGGTTAACCTATTGATCCCAATTAGAACGTTGCGGTTAACCACAGACACTTCTCAATTAAAACCGAATGCCGGGTGGTCGTCGTTCGTATGTCGACCACGAGGCGGCGGCCATTTTGTCCATGCGAACGACCAGCGGTGTTCGACGATTATTTCATGGATCGGAAAACGGACACTTTTTCAGCCGAACACCGCTGAAGCCGTCGACCTCCCCTTCTCAATCGACAAAAGCATGCGAATGCCAGCCGTTCGGGAGATTCAACCACACGAATGGACTTAACCCAGATAGCCGTCCCATGGAGTCAATCGCATACCGAAGAACTGAAAGAGACTTTGACTCCATGGCGATTGAACTGTGCGAATGGGATCTGAGCGCTATTCTTCAATAATGTGCCCTCAGATCCAGGCTATCTGGGGATATGCAATACGAATGTAATATGTTCGGCAGTTATGAAGTTATGGATTTTCATGTGTTTTTGTGACTTGTGTTTAAAATGGCGATTGCCTCTGCTCGGGGAGATAATTGAGTTACTTCCCAATTATCCCTCGAGCAGAGGGGAGGGAACTGTGATGCATGCTGGGAATATTGTGGGGATGTATGTCCAAAATGTCCCCATGTCCCTCTGTGATTTCAGTCTCCCATTTGGTCCCCTAGGGGAGTGTCCACCAAGTGGGAGACCTGCATAAATACCGGGCAGGTAGCCCACAGTAAATCAGTTCGTGTTTTACCCTCAAAGCGGAGCTTGGTCTCGTTATTGGGGGGATTTGGATACCAGCGGCGAGAGACTGCTTATTTGGATTATTTGCCGCTTGGGAGATATTGTCGTTCGGTTACTAATTGCCGTTCGTGGATTTGCCGCTCGTGAAGGGAATTAGCCGTACAGGTACCGTTCGGGAGTTTGGAGTGTTCCCTGACTGGCGGTTCGCATGGTTTTATTATACCCGCTACCCGACCACATTATTGCGAACAGGGAATACTCGCTAAACGGCGGTTTGTACATTTCAGTACTGGAGGTACCGTAACAGTCCCCTAAGATCCAGTAACAACAACTGGAGGCGTACAACTCCCAGCCCAGAGGCCCCTGCAGCACGACCCGCTGCGGCTCACTGTCTGGAAGCCGAAATGGGCCCTGAAGAATGTCTGGGGATTTTGTATGAAGCAGACCCCATACAAGCTGCCTCCCCAGACAATCGACAACATCACCGACAGGAGGTTAAGGTGAATGGACAAACAGCACAAGGCCTAAGAGACACCGGGGCTACCATCACTTTGATCCAAAAACACCTAGTGAAGCCGGAGGATGTGTCTACCCGCACTGTTGCTGTTCGGGTCGCAGGGGGCGCTGTTTTTCGCTTGCCCACCGCCCGAGTACACTTAGATTGGGGAGTTGGATCAGGAAAAACCACCGTCGGCATTATGGACAACTTGCCTGCCGAGGTCGTATTGGGAAATGACATTGGACCTTTAACTTCAGCATATTTGCCCACACCTGCTGCCGCCTGTCCCGTAACCACCCGTTCACAGTCCCGTGTCGCAGATGATCCTAATACAGGCCGGGAGACCCAGGTAAGCCAAGCACCCACATGTCACCCCACTACGATAAGCAGGCCCATAGCTTGGGACACCCCAGAGGAGTTTGGGAGGGAAACTAGAGAGGACCCCACCCTCCAAAAGTATCGGGAATTAGCTGACCGTGGGGGGGACGGACGGGAAAGTTTTCTATGGGATGGGGACAGGTTATACAGACTGGCTGAAGGCAGAAAGAGAGGCTGTGCCCCTTCGCAGAAGCGCCAACTGGTGGTACCCAAAAAGTACCGGTTGGAACTTCTCCGAATTGGCCACGACATTCCGTTGGCAGGACATCTAGGGGGTAACCGCACCACCTTCAGGATCACCCAGACCTTCTTTTGGCCGGGGATCTCGAAGGATGTGCGACGTTACTGCAGTACTTGTGACGTATGCCAACGGGTAGGGAAGAGAGGGGATCACCCTAAAGCTCGACTGTTACCTATGCCTGTGATCGAGGAACCATTTAGCAGGGTAGCAGTCGACCTAGTGGGACCCCTACCTAACCCCAGTCCCTCTGGTAAGAAATACATCCTTACCGTGGTGGACTATGCTACTCGCTACCCAGAAGCCGTCGCTCTGACGAATATCCAGGCTGACACTGTCGCCAGTGCTTTAGTCGGGATATTCACCCGAGTGGGATTCCCCCAGGAAATCCTGTCCGACAGAGGGACCCAGTTTACCGCAGACCTAACCCAACAGCTGTGGAAGGTCTGTGGTATTAAGTCCCTGCTTAGTTCCCCGTACCACCCACAGACTAACGGTCTCTGTGAACGCTTTAACGGTACCCTAAAGCAATTGCTGAGGACCTTTACAGCGGAATACAGAGACTGGGAACGATTCTTGCCGCACCTCCTGTTCGCTTATCGGGAGGTGCCGCAGGAATCCACAGGGTTCTCTCCCTTTGAACTGCTCTATGGCCGGAGAGTACGAGGACCTCTCGACCTCATCCGGGAGCACTGGGAGGGGGAGACAGAACACGACGGTGTACCCATCGTGCCATACGTATTAGAAATGCGGGACCGTATGGAACAGTTAGCCCGGATGGCACGGGACCACCTCCATGCGGCCCAAGGGCACCAGAAACGTTGGTACGATCAGGGCGCCCGCCAGAGAACCTTCCAAGTAGGCCAGAAGGTGCTGGTACTTAGACCTGTCAAAGGGAATAAGCTCCAGACCTCCTGGCAGGGCCCTTACAAAGTGGTAGCACAAGTCTGTGACACCACCTACGTAATCGCCAGCAACAAAGATGAAAGGATCCGGAAGTCCTTTCATGTAAATCTACTAAAGGAATATCAGGAAAGACCCGAGGATATAGCCGCCATATGCATACCCGCTACCGAAGACCCTGACAGCTTACCCATACCCGACCTATTAGCTAACCCAGAACCTAAAACCCTACTCAATACCGTACAGCTAGGGGAACGGTTAACTCCCGCCGAAAAGGGACAGATCCGACAGCTGCTGACTGAGAAAGGGTTGACGTTTTCCCAAGAGCCCGGTACACCCCCTTAGCAACCCACTATGTAGAGACCCCAGGACAAACCCCTCTCCGACAAACCCCCTATAGGATCCCTGAGGCAGTAAAAGAGGAGATGAGGAAGGAGATCCAAGAAATGTTAAGACTGGGGGTGATAGAGCCCTCGGACAGTCCGTGGGCCTCCCCGGTGGTTCTAGTTCCCAAGAAGGACGGAACCACTCGGTTCTGTGTCGATTATCGACGTCTCAATGACAGAACCGTGACAGACGCCTACCCCATGCCCCGAGTAGACGAGCTATTAGATCGCATTGCCAGGGGACGTTATCTGACCACCATCGATTTGTGCAAAGGATATTGGCAGATCCCCCTGGACAAGGAGGCTATCCCTAAGTCGGCCTTTGTCACCCCATTTGGCTTGTACCAGTTCAAAGTCATGCCATTTGGGATGAAAAACGCCCCGGCTACATTCCAGCGCTTAGTGGACCGCCTCCTTGATGGCTTCCAGGATTTCGCTTGCGCGTACCTGGATGACATTGCGATCTATAGCGAAACCTGGGGGGAGCATTTAAAGCATGTCGAAGCCGTACT